TAACATTTTTAAATTCCTCATCAATCCGAGGGGATTTAACAGTTTTTACAGTCATTTTATTAATGGGTGCATGCTTATTAGTAACTGGAATAAGCAATTTCTTCAAATGTGTCAAGTGCAGCGTCTGGTTGCTCCTCATTACACACCACAGACCTGCAAATATTATTTACATCATCAACATATGAATCACTACAAAACGTATTGTATGACTTCTTATACACTATATTAGGCCCAGCCTTTGGAACTTTGGTTTTCCTAGATATGGCTACTATATTGTGATCACTACATCCGATGGATTTGGATACTGCTTTAAATACAATTTCTGCAGCATTAGTAAAGATGTGATCAATACATGTTGATGATTTCACTCCTGTGCTGTTTGTAACTACCCTGGTAGGTTGACTGATAACCTGAACCAGGTTGCAGGCACTGGTTACAGTTTGAGTGGGCAGCTTGATGAGAGCCAGTCAATATATAAAATCGGCCAGAAAATATACTTCTCTGTTGATATCACATACATTATCAAGCATTTCACACAATATTATCTATAAAAGTGATTCCAGCAGAGCGACAGTAATATTTTAGCCAGATGTGTAATGCCAGTAGCCTGCTGAATCTTTCACACCTGCGGCCCAACGATGGTACAGGACCTGAAATGATTGGCCGTGTTTTTGGAGTCTTTTAACACTAAAATCAGTTATTTAAAACAGCCGTGTGATGTCCTGTACTCGTGCTCCTGGGTAGCACAGGGTTTGGTCTGCCATAACACCTCTGCCACACCACCTGTTATGGTCTGCCGTAACACCTTCTTAAAGAAGAAGAAGAAGTCTATGGGAACTAGATGAGCTATTATTAACTAGCTAGCTAGCTAATCCTTCACAATTAAGAGGACATAAACAAACAGCTTTTAGGCCAAGTGTCCTTTATGTCTTGTAATTTCACATTTGGACTGAAACAACTAGCTAGCTAGCATGATTATATAATGTCTATCACAGCCAACTAGCTAGCTAGCATGATTATATATGTCTACCACAGCCAACTAGCTAGCTAGCATGATTATATCATGTCTATCACAGCCAACTAGCTAGCTAGCATGATTATATCATGTCTATCACAGCCAACTAGCTAGCTAGCATGATTATATCATGTCTATCACAGCCAACTAGCTAGCTAGCATGATTATATCATGTATATCACAGCCAACTAGCTAGCTAGCATGATTATATCATGTCTATCACAGCCAACTAGCTAGCTAGCATGATTATATCATGTATATCACAGCCAACTAGCTAGCTAGCATGATTATATAATGTCTATCACAGCCAACTAGCTAGCTAGCATGATTATATCATGTCTATCACAGCCTACTAGCTAGCTAGCTATATGAATGATGCACTGAAATTAGCTACTCTCAAGGGACCACTATTGGTCGCTAGCTAGCGAGGACATGAAATGATGGCAAAGTTGTCCCTTTTCAGGTTTAGAAGAAGTGACTGCTAAATGCTAACTCCCGTTCGTTTAAGCTGGTTAGCATAGCTAGCATACAGAAATCATTGATGGTAGTCAGTCGTTTTTAACTGTAATGCAGTTGATTGGTAACGATGACATGAACATGTGTTGGGGTTGACATCCATACAAGCGTTATACTCAAAACAATTTTTTAGGGGGTAGACTAGCTTTAATATTGCAGATAGATTGTGGCTTCAATCAGTGTAATTGTCTACATCATTTCCAATCCCCCATATTTTTTTGTTTGTAAATATATATAATATATATATATATAGATTTAAATATATATATATATATATATATATATATATTTCCTTTATTATTTTCCCCAAACCCTACCACCCCTCCCCTAATTGGAGTAAACGAATGAACAACAACACTTAGGCTTCTACTTCCAGCTTATTCATAATACATACATTTTACGGACAGTATATTTTACAAAAGTTATCTTTAGTTTGTTTTTAGTCCCATCCTTCAGCTACCCTCAACTACTCCCATCTGTCTCTGAACACCATCCAGTTTATATTTCTATTTGCCATATATTTTTCAACTGTGCTGTGATGTAGACACATTTTGCTTGGGGTGAATGAGGAGACTCAGGATCTTTTCCCCCACGGCCCTTCCCTACGTGTTTCCATGGCAATTCCATTGTTTTGGTCGAGTTCCATTGACATCTTTACCGCATCTATGAATAGCAACATTTGTTTTGCAGTTGTCTAAATTGCCCAGCTCTCAGACCTGTGTCTGTCTGTCTGTCTGTCTGTCTGTCTGTCTGTCTGTCTGTCTGTCTGTCTGTCTGTCTGTCTGTCTGTCTGTCTGTCTGCTAGCTTGTCTGCCTGTCTGTCTGTCTGTCTGCTATCATGTCTGTCTGTTATCCTGTCTGCCTGTCTGTCTGTCTGTCTGTCTGCTAGCCTGTCTGCCAGCTTGCCTGTCTAGGAGTTTCAGATGTGCCTGGAGGAGTGGTGCTGGCTAACTGGAGTGCAACTTTACTGGAGCACATGTAGTATGAAGGTAAATTAATGTCATAAGTGTACAAGCATGTAAAGTATGAGTTGCCATGTAAAGTATGAGTTGCCATGTAAAGTATGAATTGCCATGTAAAGTATGAGTTGCACATGTAAAGTATGAGTTGCACATGTAAAGTATGAGTTGCAGTGTAAAGTATTAGTTGCCGTGTAAAGTATGAGTTGCACATGTAAAGTATGAGTTGCCATGTAAAATATGAGTTGCACATGTAAAGTATGAGTTGCACATGTAAAGTATGAGTTGTCATGTAAAGTATGAATTGCCATGTAAAGTATGAGTTGCCATGTAAAGTATGAGTTGCCATGTAAAGTATGAGTTGCACATGTAAAGTATGAGTTGCCATGTAAAGTATGAGTTGCACATGTAAAGTATGAGTTGCCATGTAAAGTATGAGTTGCCATGTAAAATATGAATTGCCATGTAAAGTATGAGTTGCACATGTAAAGTATGAGTTGCACATGTAAAGTATGAGTTACCATGTAAAGTATGAGTTGCACATGTAAAGTATGAGTTGCCATGTAAAGTATGAGTTGCCATGTAAAGTATGAGTTGTACACGTAAAGTATGAGTTGCCATGTAAAGTATGAGTTGCACGTGTAAAGTATGAGTTGCCATGTAAAATATGAGTTGCCATGTAAAGTATGAGTTGCCATGTAAAGTATGAGTTGCCATGTAAAGTATGAGTTGCACATACTAGGGGGCTAGGGTCAGCTTGTCTTATCTGGACCCAGTGCAGACAGATCTAGGATCAGTTTAGCCTTTTAGATCATAATGAATCAAATGATATGGACTGGTGGGACCTGACCCTTGATCAGCACTCCTGGTGTAATGTGTATCTTAGCCCCTTCACTAATGCCCCCTTGCAGCTTCTACACATCAACATGCATCTTCAAACCCGTCTAGACTTTGAGGGTGATGCGGTTGGCCATTTTTTTCCCCCAGTGAGATATTGATTGTCCCTTCCCTTCCCCTCCCCCAAACCATTTTATCTCCCTCCCTCTCTTGGTTGCAGACGTCTTCCTGGTTAACCTGATCCTGTGGGTGGAGGGCTTCTTGGCAGCCATCCCCTTCACCACGCTGGTGGCCATCTTGGCTTTGTGGTTTGTGTCCCTCACCATCGTGGGCGCCTAGACTACTTCAGCTTCATGAGGCCTGTGAGTTTCACCTATCAATCACACTGTCTGCATGAATAACTCTTTCAGGTCATCTTACATCATGTGAGTTTCACCTGTGAGTTTCATGTGGTTCCATAGAGAACTGCTATGAGTCAACTGTGTTGGGGGTGTGTTGTGTAAGGGATAGAGAGGGGTCAAATAGAGGGGGTCAAAGAGAGAGGGTCAAAGAGAGGGGGGGAGAGCGAGGGTCTGAGAGAGTGGGAGAGAGAGGGTCAAAGAGAGAGGGAGAGAGAGTGTCAATAGAGAGGGAGAGAGAGGGTCTGAGAGAGAGGGGAGAGAGAGGGAGAGAGACGGTTAAATAGTGAGAGGGAGGGAGAGGGGGGTCAAAGAGAGAGGGAGAGAGAGGCTCAAAGAGGGAGAGGCTCAAAGAGAGAGGGAGAGAGAGGGTCAAAGAGGGAGAGACTCAAAGAGAGAGGGAGAGAGGGGGTCAAAGAGAGAGAGAGAGAGGGAGATGGAGAGGGTTAAAGAGAGAGGGAGGGAGGGTGAAAGAGAGAGAGGGAGAGAGAGGGTCAAAGAAAGACGTTCAGTGAGAGACAAAGGGGATGACATTAAGGAGATTCAGATGGAATCCCAGCCTAAATGTTTCAAATGAACAATTAGAACTTTGAGGTTCCCTCTATATACGTTTCATATAATGTGATATAATAATATTATTGAAAATAAAATAAAACCAGTCTTTGAAAATTTACTTTTTGTCTGAAAATAAAATTAAACATTATCTCAACTGCGTTTCAAACTCCAGTCAGCAGATGGCGCTGTGGGTCTTTCAGGCAAGGTCTGCCAGAGTGTGACGTGGAAGTGAACTGGACGCTTCTTTCAACAACAACAGCTAGTCTGTCGTCACTAGTTACCACAGTCACAAAGTCATAATTATGGCTAAACCCCGCCTATTTCTACAACGTCTGTTCTTAAAATCGGACTTAAAATCTAACCTTAACCGCATGCTAACCTTATGCCTAACCCTGACCTTAAATGAAGACAAAAAAGGAAATGTTTGTTTTCATGAATTTTTACGATAGCCAATGTTAGCTTTGTGGCTGTGGTAACAAGTGACAACCCAGTCATGTTATTTTATAGTTCAATGACAATGGTCAGCCACCTCGGTAGCTTGATGGCCGAAACATTGAAGATCTTTTGACGCTTTCGTGTATATTAGCCACTGTGTTTTAAACCCACTTCTGTCGTCTAGTTAGTTATCCCATTTAATTTCATATTTACGTTGTTGTTGTTATTGGTCAGCTAGCTGGCTGGTTAAGTTAGCACTAGCCTAGCTAGCTAACATCCCCGACCATGAGCTCACTAAGCTACTCTCCTCCTGCTAAAGAAGAGGAGGTCTGCTGGACGGAGAAAGAGGGTCTGTGGCTGAACGTTGTCGTGAAAGAGGAGAAGGAAGAGGAGGATGTCACAGCAAAGAAAGAAGGGGAGGAAGTTACAGTGAAGGAAGAGGAGGAAGTTACAGTGAAGGAAGAGGAGGAAGTTACAGTGAAGGAAGAGGAGGAAGTTACAGTGAAGGAAGAGGAGGAAGTTACAGTGAAGGAAGATGAGGCTGTTACAGTGAAGGAAGAGGAGGATACCGTTCTTGGAGTGAAGGAGGAGGGAGAGATAACTGTCATATTGGAAGAAGAGGAGGAGATTGGAGATCTGATTAACACCAGTAAGTCCTGTCTTAAAACAGAAGCACAACACTGCAGTTGTTGAACTAAAGGACAAGGTCGTGGGGGTAACGGAGTCACACTCCCACTATCAAATAAAATAAAATCAAGCTTTATTTATACAGCACATTTCAGACAAGCTAAAAAGGTGTGTTTTTAAGAGCTATTTTAAAAATGTCCACAGTTTCGGCCCCCCTCAGGTTCTCTGGCTATTCCAGAGGCTGGGGGCATAGTAACTAAAGGCTGCCTCTCCATGCCCCAGAGGCTGGGGGCATAGTAACTAAAGGCTGCCTCTCCATGCCCCAGAGGCTGGGGGCATAGTAACTAAAGGCTGCCTCTCCATGCCCCAGAGGGTGGGGGGATAGTAACTAAGGCTGCCTCTCCATGCCCCAGAGGCTGGGGGCATAGTAACTAAGGCTGCCTCTCCAGCCCCAGAGGCTGGGGGCATAGTAGCTAAAGGCTGCCTCTCCATGCCCCAGAGGGTGGGGGCATAGTAACTAAAGGCTGCCTCTCCATGCCCCAGAGGCTGGGGGCATAGTAACTAAGGCTGCCTCTCCATGCCCCAAGCTGGGGCATATAAAACTAAGGCTGCCTCTCCATGCCCCAGAGGCTTTGGGGCATAGTAACTAAAGGCTGCCTCTCCATGCCCCAGAGGCTGGGGGCATAGTAACTAAAGGCTCCTCTCCATGCCCCAGAGGCTGGGGGGATAGTACTAAAGGGTGCCTCTCCATGCCCCAGGGCTGGGGGCATAGTAACTAAAGGCTTTCCTCTTTCCCTGCCCCAGAGGCTGGGCGGCATAGTAACTAAGGCGCCTTCCATGCCCCAAGGCTGGGGCTGTAACTAAGGCTTGCCTCTCCATGCCCCAGAGGCTGGGGGGCATAGTAACTAAAGGCTGCCTCTCCATGCCCCAGAGGCTGGGGGCATAGTAACTAAAGGCTGCCTCTCCATGCCCCAGAGGCTGGGGGGCATAGTAACTAAAGGCTGCCTCTCCATGCCCCAGAGGCTGGAGGCATAGTAACTAAAGGCTGCCTCTCCATGCCCCAGAGGCTGGGGGCATAGTAACTAAAGGCTGCCTCTCCATGCCCCAGTAGGCTGGGGGCATAGTAACTAAAGGCTTGCCTCTCCATGCCCCAGAGGATGGGGGCATAGTAACTAAAGGCTGCCTCTCCATGCCCAGAGGCTGGGGGCATAGTAACTAAAGGCTGCCTCTCCATGCCCCAGAGGCTGGGAGGCATAGTAACTAAAGGCTGCCTCTCCATGCCCCAGAGGCTGGGGGCATAGTAACTAAAGGCTGCCTCTCCATGCCCCAGAGGGCTGGGGGCATAGTAACTAAAGGCTGCCCTCTCCATGCCCCCAGAGGCTGGGGGCATAAGTAACTAAGGCTGCCTCTCCATGCCCCAGAGGCTGGGGGCATAGTAACTAAAGGCTTGCCTCTCCATGCCCCAGAGGCTGGAGGCATAGTAACTAAAGGCTGCCTCTCCATGCCCCAGAGGCTGGGGGCATAGTAACTAAAGGCTGCCTCTCCATGCCCCAGAGGCTGGGGGCATAGTAACTAAAGGCTGCCTCTCCATGCCCCAGAGGCTGGGGGCATAGTAACTAAAGGCTGCCTCTCCATGCCCCAGAGGCTGGGGGCATAGTAACTAAAGGCTGCCTCTCCATGCCCCAGAGGCTGGGGGCATAGTAACTAAAGGCTGCCTCTCCATGCCCCAGAGGCTGGGGGCATAGTAACTAAAGGCTGCCTCTCCATGCCTTAAATTGCACCACCATCTAACCCTGCACCTATACACTAAAAACCCACCAGGCCATCCCAATACTTTGGCCCTAAACGATCCTACAACCAGGCCATCCCAATACTTTGGTCCTAAACGATCCTACACCAGGCCATCCCAATACTTTGGTCCTAAACGATCCCCCACCAGGCCATCCCAATATTTTGGTCCTAAACGATCCTAAACCAGGCCATCCCAATACTTTGGCCCTAAACGATCCTACACCAGGCCGTCCCAATACTTTGGCCCTAAACGATCCCCCACCAGGCCATCCCACTACATCCCACTAACTAAAGGCTGCCTCTCCATGCCCCAGAGGCTGGGGGCATAGTAGCTAAAGGCTGCCTCTCCATGCCCCAGAGGCTGGGGGCATAGTAACTAAAGGCTGCCTCTCCATGCCCCAGAGGGCTGGGGGCATAGTAACTAAAGGCTGCCTCTCCATGCCCCAGAGGCTGGGGGCATAGTAACTAAAGGCTGCCTCTCCATGCCCCAGAGGCTGGGGGCATAGTAACTAAAGGCTGCCTCTCCATGCCCCCAGAGGCTGGGGGCATAGTAACTAAAGGCTGCCTCTCCATGCCCCAGAGGCTGGGGGCATAGTAACTAAAGGCTGCCTCTCCATGCCCCCAGAGGCTGGGGGCATAGTAACTAAAGGCTGCCTCTCCATGCCCCAGAGGCTGGGGGCATAGTAACTAAAGGCTGCCTCTCCATGCCCCAGAGGCTGGGGGCATAGTAACTAAAGGCTGCCTCTCCATGCCCCAGAGGCTGGGGGCATAGTAACTAAAGGCTGCCTCTCCATGCCCCAGAGGCTGGGGGCATAGTAACTAAAGGCTGCCTCTCCATGCCCCAGAGGCTGGGGGCATAGTAACTAAAGGCTGCCTCTCCATGCCTTAAATTGCACCACCATCTAACCCTGCACCTATACACTAAAAACCCACCAGGCCATCCCAATACTTTGGCCCTAAACGATCCTACACCAGGCCATCCCAATACTTTGGTCCTAAACGATCCTACACCAGGCCATCCCAATACTTTGGTCCTAAACGATCCCCCACCAGGCCATCCCAATATTTTGGTCCTAAACGATCCTAAACCAGGCCATCCCAATACTTTGGCCCTAAACGATCCTACACCAGGCCGTCCCAATACTTTGGCCCTAAACGATCCCCCACCAGGCCATCCCACTACTTTGGTCCTAAACGATCCCCCACCAGGCCATCCCAATACTTTGGTCCTAAACGATCCCCCACCAGGCCATCCCAATACTTTGGCCCTAAACGATCCTACACCAGGCCATCCCAATACTTTGGCCCTAAACGATCCTACACCAGGCCATCCCAATACTTTGGTCCTAAACGATCCTACACCAGGCCATCCCAATACTTTGGCCCTAAACGATCCTACACCAGGCCATCCCAATACTTTGGTCCGAAACGATCCCCCACCAGGCCATCCCACTACTTTGGTCCTAAACGATCCTACACCAGGCCATCCCAATACTTTGGCCCTAAACGATCCTACACCAGGCCATCCCAATACTTTGGCCCTAAACGATCCTACACCAGGCCATCCCAATACTTTGGTCCTAAACGATCCCCCACCAGGCCATCCCAATACTTTGGTCCTAAACGATCCTACACCAGGCCATCCCAATACTTTGGTCCTAAACGATCCTACACCAGGCCATCCCAATACTTTGGCCCTAAACGATCCTACACCAGGCCATCCCAATACTTTGGCCCTAAACGATCCTACACCAGGCCATCCCACTACTTTGGCCCTAAACGATCCCCCACCAGGCCATCCCAATACTTTGGCCCTAAACGATCCCCCACCAGGCCATCCCAATACTTTGGCCCTAAACGATCCTACACCAGGCCATCCCAATACTTTGGCCCTAAACGATCCTACACCAGGCCATCCCACTACTTTGGCCCTAAACGATCCCCCACCAGGCCATCCCAATACTTTGGCCCTAAACGATCCCCCACCAGGCCATCCCAATACTTTGGCCCTAAACGATCCCCCACCAGGCCATCGACCTGGGAGGATGGAACCCCTTCCCTTAAAACAAAAAAGAACGGCTAGAGAAGAGGGGAAGAGAGCGTCTTTCAGCGGTCCTTTTGCATTTATTGATGGAAAGAAGATCGATTGCCATGACTACAAGTGAACGTCTCAATCTGACTTGAGAGGACTGACTGACTTACACGCTGTGTTCTCAGGTATATTGCTACAATGAATTGAAGTCGATGTGGTTCTACTCTTGCTAAGTCAAATGAAAACGCTAACAGTTTGCTAAATTTTCTCATGAGTAAGTCGATTGTCATTATTAGATTCACACTGTTTTATATCACCAGGTTCGTAAATGTTGTGAAAACGGGTTCATCATATTGATCACAACTACCTCGTTTTACAGCCTGGTCTCATAGACTAGACGTAACATAGTAAATGTAAATGTTGTGAAAACGGGTTCATCATATTGATCACAACTACCTCGTTTTACATCCTGGTCTCATAGACTAGACGTAACATAGTAAATGTAAATCCGGACACTGAAATTATATACTTAACACTGGAATCTCCCTTAAACATTTCTGAATATATACACTACCAGTCAAAAGTTTGGCCAAGAGTGTGCAAAGCTGTCATCAAGGCAAAGGGTGGCTATTTGAAGATAATCAAATATAAAATATTTTTTGATTTGTTTAACACTTTTTTGGTTAGTACATGATTCCATATGTGTTATGTCATAGTTTTGATGTCTTCACTATTATTCTACAATGTAAAAAAATAGTATTTCTGCTTTGATCAGTCTCTATACTTCCACATCCCATGAAAGCAACATTATTATTTTAAAAAAACATGATTTGAAGCTTTACATCATTAACAAAAATTGTTATATGGTTTTTAGTTATAATAATAATAATAATAATATGCCATTTAGCAGACGCTTTTATCCAAAGCGACTTACAGTCGTGCGTGCATACATTTTTGTGTATGGGTGGTCCCGGGGATCGAACCCACTACCTTGGCGTTACAAGCGCCGTGCTCTACCAGCTGAGCTACAGAGGACCACTTAGTTAAAGTAAGACAGACTGATATGATTGAAATATCTATGGTACCACATCATATAACTTATATTATTACAACCAACTCATGTCTGATTTCAAATGATGAAGAGGACAGAATCAAGACAGGGATCATTTTGATCTGGATTAATTGTTCTATAGAAACTGGCCACAGGTTATTGAAGCAATAAGGCATGACAACCTGTGGATTATTGTGAATAACACACAACTAAGGGCTGATCTATTGTGCCCTATGAACTGAAAATTGACAAAATAGTTCCAATTCATAAAGCTGACACAGGCACACATCATTCTACTGAATTAGGTACTGATTAGGTAATCACATTAACCAAATCTTATTTAACGAGGAAAAGTATAAAAACCACTGCTGTGGTTATCACTATCCTCTTGCAATAGAATCAGCTGGATGACAAAAACAGTGCTAATAGTACCTCAAAAGTAATATTAATCAAAAAATAACTATTGACCATGCCACATTTTTGAGTGAGGAAAAGAAGGGTTCAATTCTGGCTTTACTGGCAGAGGGATACAGTGAGCGTCAGGTTGCTTCCATCCTTAAAATTTCAAAGACGGCGGTTCATAAGAACAAGGTCAAGCAGCAGACATTGGGGACAACAAAGCTACAGACCGGCAGAGGGCGAAAACGACACTCTACTGACCGGGATGACCGCCAACTCATTCGAATGTCACTCAAGAACCGTAGGATGACATCAAGTGACCTACAAAAATAATGGCAAACGGCAGCTGGGGTGAAGTGCACGACGAGGACGGTTCGAAACAGGCTCCTAGAAGCAGGGCTGAAGTCGTGCAAAGCTAGAAAAAAGCCCTTCATCAATGAAAAGCAAAGAAAAGCCAGGCTGAGGTTTGCAAAAGACCATTAGGATTGGACCGTAGAGGACTGGAGTAAGGTAATCTTCTCTGAGTCCAATTTTCAGCTTTGCCCAACACCTGGTCGTCTAATGGTTAGACGGAGACCTGGAGAGGCCTACAAGCAACAGTGTCTCGCACCCACTGTGAAATTTGGTGGAGGATCGGTGATGATCTGGGGGTGCTTCAGCAAGGCTGGAAACGGGCAGATTTTTCTTTGTGAAGGACGCATGAATTAAGCCACGTACAATGTTGTCCTGGAAGAAAACTTGCTTCCTTTTTCTCTGACATTGTTCCCCAACTCTGAGGATTGGTTTTTCCAGCAGGACAAGGCGCCATGCCACACAGCCAGGTCAATCAAGGTGTGGATGGAGGACCACCAGATCAAGACCCTGTCATGGCCAGCCCAATCTCAAGACCTGAACCCCATTGAAAACTTCTGGAATGTGATCAAGAGGAAGATGGATGGTCACAAGCCATCAAACAAAGCCGAGCTGCTTGAATTTTTGCGCCAGGAGTGGCATAAAATCACCCAACATCAATGTGAAAGACTGGTGGAGAGCATGCCAAGACGCATGAAAGCTGTGATTGAAAATCAGGGTTATTTCACCAAATATTGATTTCTGAACTCTTCCTTAGTTAAAACATTAGTATTGTGTTGTTTAAAAATGAACATTCACTTATTTAACATTTACATTTACGTCATTTAGCAGACGCTCTTATCCAGAGCGACTTACAAATTGGTGCATTCACCCTATAGCCAGTGGGATAACCACTTTACAATTTATTTATTTTTTGTGGGGGGGGGGGGGGGTAGAAGGATTACTTTATCCTATCCCAGGTATTCCTTAAAGAGGTGGGATTTCAAATGTCTCCGGAAGGTGGTGAGTGACTCCGCTGTCCTGGCGTCGTGAGGGAGCTTGTTCCATCATTGGGGTGCCAGAGCAGCGAACAGTTTTGACTGGGCTGAGCGGGAACTATGCTTCCGCAGAGGAAGGGGAGCCAGCAGGCCAGAGGTGGATGAACGCAATGCCCTCGTTTGGGTGTAGGGACTGATCAGAGCCTGAAGGTACGGAGGTGTCGTTCCCCTCACAGCTCCATAGGCAAGCACCATGGTCTTGTAACAGATGCGAGCTTCAACTGGAAGCCAGTGGAGTGTGCGGAGGAGCGGGGTGACGTGAGAGAACTTGGGAAGGTTGAACACCAGACGGGCTGCGGCATTCTGGATGAGTTGTAGGGGTTTAATGGCACAGGCAGGGAGACCAGCCAACAGCGAGTTGCAGTAGTTGTAAAGTGGTTATCCCACTGGCTATGGGGTGAATGCACCAATTTGTGAGTCGCTCTGAATGGGAGCGTCTGCTAAATGACGTAAATGTGCCCTTGAGCAAGGCACTTAACCCTAATTGCTCCTGTAAGTCGCTCTGGATAAGAGCGTCTGCTAAATGACTAAAATGTAAATGTAATCCAGGCGGGAGATGACAAGTGTCTGGATTAGGACCTGTGCTGCTTCCTGTGTAAGGCAGGGTCGTACTCTCCGAATGTTGTAGAGCATGAACCTACAGGATCGGGTCACCGCCTTGATGTTAGCGGAGAACGACAGGGTGTTGTCCAGGGTCACGCCAAGGCTCTTCGCACTCTGGGAGGAGGACACAACGGAGTTGTCAACCGTGATGGCGAGATCATGGAACGGGCAGTCCTTCCCCGGGAGGAAGAGCAGCTCCGTCTTGCCAAGGTTCAGCTTGAGGTGGTGATCCGTCATCCATACTGCTATGTCTGCCAGACATGCAGAGATGCGATTCGCCACCTGGTTATCAGAAGGGGGAAAGGAGAAGATTAGTTGTGTATCGTCAGCGTAGCAATGATAGGAGAGGCCATGTGAGGATATGACAGAGCCAAGTGACTTGGTGTATAGCGAGAATAGGAGAGGGCCTAGAACTGAGCCCTGGGGGCAGTGTTTTTCTTTGCATTATTCGAGGTCTGACAACACTGAATCTTTTTTTGTTATTTTGACCAGTTGTCATTTTCTGCAAATAAATGCTCTAACTGACAATATTTTTATTTGGAATTTGGGAGAAATGTTGTCGGTAGTTTATAGAATAAAACAAAAATTTTAATTTCACCCAAACACATACCTATAAATTTCACCCAAACACATACCAGAGAAACTTATATATATATATATATATTTTTTTAATGTTCAAATGCCTCTCCTGTGAAGTAGTGACGCGCGACATATGCCTCGTTGCCCTGAAACGAGTCACATTTGGTTGAAATGTTGTCTTGAAGACAACGTTAATTTGCTTTGACTCTAGTGTTCCATTTGTACATCTGCATTTGCGGGACACAACATAAAATAAACCAAGCCGTGCATCACACAGTTCTGCTCCCAGAATTCCCTCCTTCCCTCCATCACACAGTTCTGCTCCCAGAATTCCCTCCATCACACAGTTCTGCTCCCAGAATTCCCTCCCTCCCTCCATCACACAGTTCTGCTCCCAGAATTCCCTCTTTCCTTCCCTCCCTCCCTCCCTCCCTCCATCACACAGTTCTGCTCCCAGAATTCCCTTTCTCCTCTGTGTCTCCCTCAGCTCCTCCCTCTACACAGGCGTGCTCTGTACGCCTGTAGAAATAAATGGCTATAAAAACATATCTAACTGATGGGATACACAAGATACATTCCTTGCCAAGTCATGACAGTTGTGTCACATTCTAAATGGACCGGTTGGCTGAAGTAGGGAAATATGCGTTCCAACAATGAGCTGCAGTTTAGGAATAATTGCGTCATTTCCCACTTAGACTACTTTTCGGTCAACATTGGCTATATATTTAAAATTAATGATTTGTTTGTTTTGTTGCTTTTTGGTCAATTTAAGTTTAGGTGTAAGGTTAATAGTGTGGTAAGGGTTAGGTTTAAAATCTGTTTTTAAGAAGAGAAATTGTAGAAACGAGCAGGGTTTATGACTTTTGGTTTGTAACCCTGAAAAATGTGTCTTTCAACTTGCCAAATTGAGCCCCATTTCAAATTATCACTCTTTAAGAATAACGGTTCTGTTCTATTTTATTCTGTTATCTGTTACATGTATTTCTTTCTATAAAATGTGTGTCTTGACTGTGATAAGGGCTCGAGAAATA